CCACTTTCCCCACTTCCGCGGGGGAGCGGCACACCGCCGGCCGGCTCTCTCGGGGGCTGCTCAGGTGTTCCTTCAGATAGATGTTCCTGGTGCATGTTGTCTCTCTCCTCCTTTATAGTCCTCTTCCACCAATCCCAACTCTGCTACCCACACGCCGAGTACGCTGCTCTCCTCCAATCAGGAGCAGGTCCTGCTGTTTATTGGTTGAACTGGAGGCAGCTGTGTAGAAGCTGTTTCCTCCTCTCCCAGTGCCATATTGTGGGAGAGCAGATGCATAGAATAAGTCTTAATTCCAGTAACAGTCTAGTCTGAGTTGCTCCCCACACTGATGAGTTCTGGGAAAGCAACCCAAGCCGCACAACAGTGTGGCCTGGGCTGCCCCCGAAGCTGTTGGCAGGCTTGTCTCTTGTTGCTAGACTTCCCATGCAGGAGACAGCTCCTAGTCACTATGCTCCCCAGCCACAGTGGTGATGGGCAGATTCTGCACCCAGAACCCTCCTGGAAGTCCCCTTTCCCAATCACTGGGCTGGAACACTTCAAGTGTCGTTGTCAAGGAGGGGTGGGGAATCACAGCCAGAAATGTCTGCACAGAAATTCTCTATACTCCATTCCTTTGACTGTTTATATTCTTGCAATAAAGGATTTAAGAACATTATTTATTTATTTATTTTTTGACAGGCAGAGTTAGAGAGAGAGACAGAGAGACAGAGAAAGGTCTTCCATCCGTTGGTTCACCCCCCAAATGGCCGCCATGGCCGGTGCGCTGCGTCGATCTGAAGTCAAGAGCCAGGTGCTTCCTCCTGGTCTCCCATGTGGGTGCTAGTGAGCTGTGGCACTGGCCAGATTTAAGAACTTTAAAGCAGATCTTAGACTACTAAATACATATCCATCTTCCTACATATGGTGATTATGTCTATTTATTTACATGCACAGGGTGATTAAGCAATTTTTATTTTTATTTTTTTAAGATTTTATTTATTTATTTGAGAGGTAGTTACAGACAGTGAGAGGGAGAAACAGAGAGAAAGGTCTTCCGTCCGTTGGTTCACTCCCCAAATGGCTGCTGATCTGAAGCCAGGATCTTCTTCCTGGTCTCCCATGTGGGTGCAGGCGCCCAAGGACTTGGGTCATCTTCTATTGCTTTCCCAGACCATAGCAGAGAGCTGGATTGGCAGAGGAGCAGCCAGGACTAGAACCAGCGATCATATGGGATACCAGCACCCATGTGGGATGCTGGCATCACAGGTGGAGGATTAACCTACTGCACCACGGTGCCAACCCCCTTACACAATTTTTAAAAAGAAAGTTAGTTCAAGGAACTGTAGTGCAGCAGGTTAAGCCATGACCTGTGACACCGGCATCCCATATTGGAGTGCTAGTTCGAGTCCCAGCTGCTCTGTTTCCCATCCAGCTTCCTGCTAAGGCACCTGGGAAGGCTACAGAAAATGGTTCAAGTACTTGGGTCCCTGCACCCACAATGCAGCTTTGGGATCCTGGCTTTGGCCTGGACCAGTCCTGGCTGTTAAAGCCATTTGGGGAGTGAATCAGCAGATGGAAGATACCTTTCTCCCTCTCTCTCTGATGCTCTGCCTTTCTTTTTTTTTTTCTTTCTTTTTTTTTTTTTTTAGATTTATTTTATTCATTTGAAAGACAGAGTTACAGAGAGAGGTAGAGACAGAAAGAACGGTCTTCCATCTGCTGGTTCACTCCCTAGATGGTCACAATGGCCAGAGCTGCGCTGATCCGAAGCCAGGAGCCAGGAGCTTCCTCCAGGTATCCCATGCGGGTGCAGGAGCCCAAGGAGTTGGGCCATCTTCTACTGCTTTCCCAGGCCATAGCAGAGAGCTGGATGGGAACAGGAGCAGCCGGGACTAGAACCAGCACCCATATGGGATGCCAGCACTTCAGGCCAGGGCATTAACCCGTTGTGCCACAGTGCTGGCTCCTCTGCCTTTCAAATGAGTAAATATATATTTTAAATATATATATATAATATATATGTATATATATAAAATATATGTGGTGTAGCCGGTAAAGCCGCTGCCTGCAGTGCTGCCATCCCATATGGGTGCCGGTTAGAGACCCAGCTGCTCCACTTCCTATCCAGCTCTCTGCTATGGCCTGGGAAAGCAGTGGAGGATGGCCCAAGTCCTTGGGCCCCTGCAACCTCGTGGGAGACCCAGAAGAAGTGCCTGGCTCCTGGCTTTGGATTGGCGCTGCTCTGCCCACTGCAGCCAATTGGGGAGTGAACCAGTGGATGGAAGACCTCTCTCTCTCTCTCTGTCTCTCCTTCTCTCTGTGTAACTCTGACTTTCAAACAAATAAATAAATCTTAGAGAAAAATAAAGTGCACATGAACAAACTTTTTTTTAAAAAAGACTTCCTTTATTTATTTGAAAGGCAGAGTTACAGAGACAGAAAGGGAAGGGAGACAGAGATCTTCCATCCTCTGGTTTACTCCCCAACTGCCTGCAATGGCCCAGGTGGGGGCCAGAGGCATGGAGCCAGGAACTCCCACCTGGGTGGCAGGAACCCAGTCACTTGAGCTATCACCCCTGCCTCCTATTAGCAGAAAGGTCGAGTTAGGAGCTAGTGCTGGGTATGAACCCAGGCATTCCTGTATGGGACATAGGCATCCTAATTGTTAGGCCAAACATGCACTCCTTTTCTGAGTATTGTTGATTCCCAGTTGGTTAACTCTGTGGATGCAGAACCCAAAGGTGTGTGGCTGGCACTGCGGTATAGTAGGCTAAGTCTCAGCCTGTGGCACTGGCATCCCATATGGCCACCAGTTCGTGTCCTGGCTGCTCCACTTCCTATCCAGCTCTCTGCTATAGCCTGGGAAAGCAGTAGAAGATGGCCCAAGTCCTTGGGCCCCTGCACCCTTGTGGGAGACCCAGAAGAAACTTCTGGTTCCTGGCTTCAGATCAGCCCAGCTTTAGCTGTTGTGGCCATTTGAGGAGTGAACCAGCAGATGGAAGACCCTTCTGTCTTTCTCTCCCTCTCTCTGTCTGTAACTCTACCTTTCAAATAAATAAAATCTTTTAAAAATGATTATTTTATTTGAAAGGCAGAGTTACCGAGAGACAAAAGAAATGACACTGAGTGAGATTTTCCATCTGCTAGTTTACTCCCCAAATGGTCACAATGGCCAGGCCAAAGCCAGGAGCCTGAAATTCCATCTGGGTCTCCTATGTGGGTGGCAGGGGCCCAATCGCATCAGGCTGCTTTCTCAGGTGTATTAGCAGGGAGCTGGATTGGAAGTGCAACAGCTGGGATGCCAAACAGTGCTTATATGGGATGCCAGCATCCAATCGGTAGTGGGGTTAACCCAATGTGCTATGATGCTGGCCCGTACAATGAACATTCTTGCATGGCGCCTGTTGCGGGAGTATTTTTAAAGATTTATTGTTTTGAAAGGAAAGCCACAGGCACACACACACACACACACACACAGTCTGGTTCACTTCCCAAATAGTTGTAACAGCCAGGTGTGAGCCTGACTGAAGCCAGGAGCCAGGAACTCCATCCTGTTCTCCCACACGTGTGACAGAAGCCTAAATACTTGGGCCATGCCTTCCTAGGTGCATTAATAGGAAGCTGGGTAAGTGGAGCAGCCAGGACTCCAACTGCAACTCTGATATGGAATGAGGACATCCAAGCAACAGCTTGGCCCACTGCGCTGTGACACTGGCTCCCTGGAGTATTTTCTAGGGCAGATTTTTCACCATGAATTCCGAGCATGTTTTTCTCTGTTCGGTGTCTGGAGATGCTGCTTCTTTCTCTTTGTAGATCGTTTGCTTTCAGTGAGTGTTCTCCTTTCTCCACCTTCCCCCCCCCCCCCAATTTTTCTTTTTTTCTCAAAGTAGCTACTGAGAACTTTTTTGTGATTACTTGAGAAAGACACAATATAGCTCTTAACCAAGTATTTGTTCCCTTCTCAAATTCCTTTTGATTATTAACCAGAGGTCTGTATCCTGTTTCACTCCTGCTACTCATTCATCCATCTCTTTGGTCACTCAACACTTAGCACCTGTTTTGTACCAGACCTGGTGATGGCAAAGTAACAGTCTCTCCCTTCAAGGAGCTCACAAAGTGCATTTCTGATTTATGAACAAAACGCCATGAGTTGGGTCGGCGCTGTGGCATAGCGGGTAAAGCCACCACCTACAGTGCCAGCATCTCATATAGGCGCCAGTTCGAGTCCTGGTACTTCGAATCCAGCTCTGTGATGTTGCCTGGGAAAGCAGTGGAAGATGGTCCAAGTCCTTGGGCCCCTGCACCTGCGTGGGAGACCTGGAGGAGGCTCCTGGCTCCTGGCTTCGGATGGGTTCAGCTCCAGCCATTTGGGGAGTGAACCAGCGGATGGAAGACCTCTCTGCCTCTCTGTAACTTTTTCAAATAAATAAATAAACCTTAAAAAAAAAAAAAAAACTCCATGAGAATAACGCCCCAGTTAAAGAAGGAAAAAAGAGAACGTTCTAGGTACGCAGAAAATTAGACCGCAGCTCTCTGGACCCATGCCCATGCAGGCAAAGGTTAACAGCTGCAGAGACGCACACCAAACAGTGCAGTGGCCCAAACGACACTAACTTCGCTGCGAGAGAGCTTCGGGCTCCGAAGGTGGGAAAACGGGTCGCCCTGCAGGGTTTCATCGCTACCCAGGCGCCGGTTCTCTTACTTCTCACGCACTTGTAATCAGGCTAGGGATTTGTGGCTGGAGCAGTGCGCAGGCGCACCTAGACGCAGGGCTCTTACTCATGCGCAGTAGGAGACTCTGAAGTCAGACGGGTTAGTTGAGGGCAAGTGATTTTCTGTTCTTAAAATGTCCCTTGCTGGAATCCAGAGACCCTGGCTGTCCCCAGTCATGGCGAAGGAATCTTACATCGCAATATAATCTCCACTTTCTCTCTGAACACTCTGAAATAAACCGGCTGCCAGTACCCAACATGGCGGGAGCCCCCGAGCGCCGCAGTTCGCCTCCCGACGCCCTTCTCCCGGGGCGAGGCGGGGCCGGAGCGGGGGCGGACCCCTCCCCGAGGGCGGGAGCTCGGGGGGCGGGGCATGGGCCGCGCGGTGGGCCCCCGCCCCCGATCGGGCCTTAGCGGCGGCTACAGCCACTTTCCTCCTGAGGAGCGCTTCGGAAGTCCGCGGCAGCCGTGTGGTGAGCTGGGGCTTCTGAGGCCGGCGGGAGGTGCCCGGGTTAACGGTCCAAGGCCCGGGAACCCGCCCGTCTAGGACGCCTGAGGGAAGCCCGTGTCGGCAGTGCCCTCCGGTGTCCCGGGAGGATCCCGAGGCCCAGAGAGGGGCCGGGACGCGTCCTAGGCTCTCCGGCAGGCTGCCCTCAGCTTCCTGCCGCCAGCACCACCCTGGGCTTCTTGGGCGCGGAAGGGGCGCTCCCTGAGCCTTGTTCCCGAAGCCGACCTGCCCCGGGCCGATGGGATGCGGCCCCGCGCGCCCCGCGCTCGCTGTGCCCCGGGGCCCTGCAGCTCCCGGGGCCAGGGCGGCTTTGCACGTGATTCGTGCGAAAGCCCAGCCCCACCTGCCTGCCCGCCGCTGTGCCTCGGGACTCCCTTTCTTCGGGGCGCGGGCTCCCGGCGCAGCTAGCTAATCCCGCTTTTCGTTTTTTTGTACTCAGTGCACCAAGTTACTTTTCCAGCCCCTCTTTGGCGCCGTGAGCTCATTCGTTGGACCTTATGCCTCGGCTTTGTCATCTCTATCCCAGGGTCCGGCACGGGATGATAATAATAATAGCTAATACTTATTGATAGTCGCACTGTGTCAGGTGCTACTAAGTGCGCTACAGGTAAAGGCCCATAAACTACAGCAGTTCTCTGAGGTGGATCCTGTATCTCCCCATTTGACACAGGCACTCACAGGTCGCAGGACTGAGTGGAGCTGGGATAGCTGTCCCCAGGGCACGTGACACTTTGACTAGGCTGTCTTTGGGTTTGGGAAACAGCTATAGAATTGACCTTCACATTAACCTCTTGAGGTCTGGAGAGCAGGATTCTGACCCTTGTCTTACTGAGAAGGCTTAGAAAGAATTGGTAGTCCCAGATTGTATTATGGAGTGAATTTATGACAAAAGCAAGACCTTCCGGGAGCCCCTGTGTTCCGTTTTTGCCTTTCTGATCTCCTTTTCCAGCAAAAAGCGGCAGACCTAGATGCCATTTCACACCCTTTGGGAAGTGTTTCTCACAGAGTTGTGATTTCCTTTTTTTTTTTTTTTTTTAAGTTTTATTCATTTATTTGAGAGGCATGGTAAATGACCAGAGAGGGGGAGATCTTCCATCTGCTGGTTCACTCCCCAAATGGCCAAAATGGCCAGAGTTGGGCCAGTCGGAAGCCAGGAGCCAATAGCTTCTTTCGGGTCTTCCACATGTCTGCAGGGGCCCAAGGACTTGGGCCATCTTCCTGCTGCTTTCCCAAGTGCATTAGCAGGAAGCCAGATCAGAAGTGGAGTAGCTGAAACTGGAACCTGCACCCATATGGGATGGCAGCGCCACAGTTGGAGGTTTAACCTACTATGTCACAGCAGCAGCCCAGAGCTATGATTTCATAGGTCTGTGTTTTAGGAGACAACTAATGTAATGGAGAGAGCCTAGAATTTGGAATCAGATTGGGATTCAGTCTTTTCCATTCACCAGTTGTATCCCTTCTATTTTTTGAACCTTTGTTTTCTTTCTTATGAAATGGAAACAATACTCTTATCTCAAATAGGTTTTTTTATGAAGATTGCAAGTGGTTATTGTGAGAAAGTGCTATCCAACTTGTTCTGAGCTGCTTTTTGTTTTCCTTCTTTAAAATTAATTTATTTGAAAGGCAGAATGTCAGAGAGAGAGAGAGACAGAGGGCAATCTTCCATCCATTGGTACCCACAGCCACTGGGGCTGGGCCAAGCCAAAGCCAGGAGCCAAGAGCTCCATCTGGGTCTCCTACATGGGTGGCAGGGACTCAAGCATTTGGGTCATCGAGGCACATTAGCAGGAAGTTGGATCAGAAGTGTGGAGTATGTGGGACTTGGACCAGGTATTCCTGTTTGGGAAGTAGGTGTCCCAAGCAGTGGCCCAAACTGCTGTGCCTGCTGTGCCCCAACACCTGCCTCTGGTGGCTTTTTTTTTCTTTTTTTATAGATTTATGTATTTATTTGAAAGGCAGAGAGTTTCAGAGAGGCAAAGAGAGCGAGAAGTCTTCCATCCACTGGTTCATTCCCCAAATGGGCGCAACTGCCAGCGCTGGGCCTACCTGAAGCCAGGATCCAGGAGCTTCTTTCAAGTCTCCCAAGAAGGTACAGAAACCCAAGGACTTGGGCCATCCTCTGCTGCTTTCCCAGGCCATAACAGAGCTGGATTGGAAGCGGAGCAGCCGAGACTTGAACTGGCACCCATATGGGATGCTGGCACTGCAGGCAACAGCTTTACCCACCATGCCATGGCATGGCACCAGCCCCCTCTGCTAACTTTCTAGGTGGCTATAGAACTGTGAGCATTTTGCAAGACCATTGGTGATAATAGGGGTCATGTTACCTAATGTCCTTATATATAGTAAGTTAAATGTGTATTGGGTGTCTGTTTATATGCCAGGCACTGTCTTAGAAGCTGGGGATACAGCACTCAATAAAGTAATGTTTTTTCATTTGTCGAACTTATATTCTGTTTTTTGTTTGTTTTTGTTTTTGTTTTTTTTGTTTGTTTGTTTTTGTTTTTTGACAGGCAGAGTGGACAGTGAGAGAGAGAGACAGAAAGGTCTTCCTTTTGCCATTGGTTCACCCTCCAATGGCCGCCACGGCCGGCGCGCCGCAGCCGGCGCGCTGCGCTGATCCGATGGCAGGAGCCAGGAGCCAGGTGCTTTTCCTGGTCTCCCATGGGGTGCAGGGCCCAAGGACCTAGGCCATCCTCCACTGCACTCCCTGGCCACAGCAGAGAGCTGGCCTGGAAGAGGGGCAACCGGGACAGAATCCGGCGCCCCGACCGGGACTAGAACCCGGTGTGCCGGCGCCGCTAGGTGGAGGATTAGCCTAGTGAGCCGCGGCGCCGGCCTGGAACTTATATTCTGGTATGCATTACACATAATAATTTTTTTTTTGACAGGCAGAGTTAGACAGTGAGAGAAAGAGAGTTATAGACAATGAGAGAGAGACAGAGAGAGTTCTTCCTTCTGTTGGTTCACTCCCCAAATGGCCGCTACGGCTAGCACGCTGTGCCAATCCGAAGCCAGGAGCCGGGTGCTTCCTCCCGGTCTCCCATGCGGGTGCAGGGACCCAAGCACTTGGGCCATCCTCCATTGCCCTCCCGGGCCACGGCAGAGAGCTGGACTGGAAGAGGAGCAACCTGGACTAGTACCTGACGCCCCAACTGGGACTAGAACCCAGGGTGCCGGCACCGCAGGCGGAGGATTAGCCAAGTGAGCCACATCGCCGGCCTACAAGTAATAATTTGATAGAGACAGATAAAACGTAATAGGTAATAGAAGTACCAGTGTGTGGAAGGCTGGTAGTGTTTTATATTGGGTGATTTGGAAACAAGAAAGTGGCATTTGAACGGAGGCCTGAGGTGGTATAGGAAAAAACTGGAGGTAATAGGGGAAGAGGCCCCAGTTGCGGGCATGGGGCTTGGTGTGTTTCAAGGACCCACCACATGTGGACCTGCGTTGTGGCATAGTAGGTTAAGCTGCCGCCTGTGATGCCAATGTCCCATATGGGTGCCAGTTCATGTCCCAGCGGCTCCACTTCTGATCCAGCTCCCTGCTAATGGCTTGGTAAAAGCAGTGGAAGATGACCCAAGTGTTTTGGCCCCTGCCATCCATGTAGGAGACTGGGAAGAAGCCCCTGGCTCTTGGCTTCAGCTTGGCCCAGCCCTGGCTGTTGCAGCTATCCTGGGGAGTGAACCAGCAGATAGAAGATCCCCCTTTCTGTCTGTTTCTCCCTCTCTTTCTGGAACTCTGACTTTCAAATAAATAGTACGCCAGCCATGGCAGCCATTGGAGGGTGAACCAACGGCAAAGGAAGACCATTCTCTCTCTCTCTCTCTCTCTCCCTCTCTCCACTCTGCCTGTCCAAAAAAAAAAAAAAAATTTATTTGAAAGAGTTAAAGAAGACAATTAAGAGTTAAAGAAGACAATTAAGTGGCAACTTAATTGTCTCCTATCCCAAATGTTTGCATTGTTTAAAATAACAGTTGTGGGGCAGGTGTTGTGGCACAGCAGGTTGAGCTGCTGCTTGGGATACCTGCATGCCATATTGGAGTGCCTGGGTTTGAGGCCCACCTTTGCTTCCCATCTGGCTTCCTGCCAATGATGGGATCTGGCACCCAGGAAGTCATAGCACTTCGGTCGGACCTAGATTGAGTTCCTGGCTCCTGGCTTCTCTCTGGCCCGGCCCCAGCTGATGTGGGCATTTGGGAGTGAACCAGTGGGTAAGAGAGCTCCCTCTTTCTCTGTGGCTTTGACTTTAAAATAAAAAGTAAATTATCCAAAAAAAAAAAAAAAACCCCACAATCATTTATTACCTTACACATTTGTTGTGAATTAGAAATCAAATCAGATGAGCTGAATATTTCTGATTTAGGATCTCATGAGGCTGCAGTCAGGCTAACAGCTGGGGCTGAGTGATCTGATGGCTTCAGTGAGGGCTAGGGGATCTGCTTCCAAGAGTGCTTACTCACAGGTATGTTGGCAGAAGGCCCCAGTTCCCTACAGGGCCTCTTCACAGTTCCAACGGGGCCTGTGGGTCCTCACTTCCCGAAAGGTAACTTCCCCCAGAGATCAGAGAGAAAGAGAGCAAGCAGCTATATAGTCTATTTTGTTAGCTTGTTTCAGATGTCATTTCTACTTTATTCTGCTTTATTTAACTTCACCCCAGCTTACACCTAAGGTGAGAGATTTAGTCTCCACCCCTTATAAGCACACCTTAAAGCCACCACACTAGGCAAGAGAGGGTGGCTTGGCTTTGGGTGGAGGCAGTGATAGGATCTGGTGGAGTCTGCAGGATTTGTTGGGGTTGGTAGCAGGGTGTGGGAGAATGGGGTAAGTAAAGCTGTAAGGCTTTTGGCCTGAACAACCAGAAGGATGGAATTACAGCATTTACTGAAATGGGGATGACAGAGGAACATGAGTTCACTTTTGAACAAGTTAACTTTGAGATGCCTGGTGGATATCCATGTG